ACAGTTCTGTAGCTGCTTTATGATGAAATAAACCTTTAAAGATTTTTTTTTAGACTTTATTGCCAAGTAATAGTGAGAGAATTCATATTTTGGAAGACGGGCAAGTGTCCACAAATCTGTGACGGTCAGTGTTAGAATAATAATTGCAATGCAGAGAGAAAATTCTTTTGCAGCTTCATTGTCAGTGAGAAAACACACACACACACACACACACACACACACACACACACACACACTCACACACACACACCACCTGCGCTGGATAATGAGACAGCTCAGTGTGACACACATACAGTGACAGCTCGGTGCACATATACAGCGCTGAACCGTGACTATTAGAGCGAGGCCTTCAGCTCCTGCAGTCAATATCTAACTCGGTCAAAAACAGGAAAAAACACCTCTACGTTAATGCTAACTTCTGCTAGCGCCCCTATAGAATCTCAAATAGCATGTTAGCGCTAAGCTAATACAAGTGTGCGTGAACATATTTTGGCCATGCTAGATTAAACACAGATGACTGAAGACGTGAAGTTCAAGTTCAAGAGGCTTTATTGTGATTCCAGCTCTATACAAGTACACAGTGACTCGACACAACATCCCTCCAACACAGCAACACAAGAGCAGGACAGTAAACACAGTGCAGACAGTACAGTACAGTAAATACATACGGAAGACTTTACAGTAAATACAGAACAGGACACAGGCAGCACACGGTACTGAGAGTGTGTGGAGCTGTGCAGAGGAGGACGGAACACACTATGGCATATTAGCAGATTAGCAGATAGCCTAGCATATATATGCATAGCAGTCACCGAGGTGGCAACCAGAACAGCAATGGAATACAGTATTTGATTGATATCGTACTCTAGCAGCCAATTGTTACAGACGTAAAATGTGCAAAAATGCAAGAAGTCAGATATATAAGTCGTGTCAAGTGAAGTATTTCAGTGAAATGCAGTGATTATATTTAAATACTGTCACAGACATAAACAACACCTGTTTGCTCTGAGTCTTGTAGCAGTCATTATGACATATCTGAGTTTGTGTGTATCAGTTTTACAGTCACTCTTTCAGTGAAGAGTTCTGACATCGAGCTGCCGCCCCCGTTTAACATTCCTAACAACTAACCGGAACACTGCTTAGAGTGCGACTCATTCACAGCCAATTATCTAGAACCTCCAGAAACGCTAGAGCAGGGTTGTCAAACTCAACCACTAAGAAAGCCATATTAAAAAATCTCAACAGATCTGTGGGCCAGCTGTGTTTATTTTATTTTTATTTAAAATGTTGCCGTGACCACAACTGACCACTGTTTATTCAAGATATGCCAAAACTAATTTTAAATAACAACAAATTGTTTTATATAAAATTATAGACTACATTATCTGCAGATACTGTTAAACCTCTTTAAATGTCCCCAGTGTACAGCAGGTTTAAAACTGCCCTTTCGCCTGAACTGGACACCTGGCATCATTTTTTGTTTTGTTTTTGTGGTGCTGCCCCATAGATCATTGTTGGGGAAGGGGTGGGAGCACACATTAGGTTTCAGTGCATGCTGGGAACTGTAGTAACAATAAAATATGACTAATATATTAATTATATTTCTATTCAAGTGTTATAAGTGAAATATCATTTGTGAGACTAAATAAAATTCTGTAAATTTTCAAATTTAGATTATGTTCTTTACACAGCAACCTCATTCATAAATCACTGTATTAAAGGAGAAGATCAGATTAATCATCATAAACAGCCGTTATTGTTCCTCCTTAAAGGGTTAATATGTCCTGATCTGCTGAATCTGCTCTGATATGAAGTCTCTTAAACTTTAGCTACTTCGTTACCACAGTGCAGCGTTACACTGTAATCTTACACCACTGCTGCCACCATCAGGTGAGAGGAAGAACTGCAGTGTACTGGCTGGAAGGCCACTTAAGGTGCCTTTCCACTGCATGGTACCGACTCGACTCGGCTCGCCTTTTTTGATTTTCCATTAGGCAAAATTTGGTACCTGATTCCTGGTACTTTTTTGGTACCATCTCTGTCGAGGTTCCGAGCGAGCTGAGCTGATACCAAAAGGTGATGTACAAAAGCTACTGCTGATTGGTCGGAGAGAATTGCTAAACACATATGCTAATACTAGCTACCAGGTTAGCGTAGCGTCTTGCGTCGCCTTTGAGCTCCAGAATCGTCTCGTCATCTGAACTCTGATGTAGTTTTTCCCAAACTCTCCCGTTTTATCAGCTGTCTTTTGTCTCGCTGCCTCTTCTGAACAACATTTGTCTCCTTCACCTCTCAGTGTTTCATTTGGTGTTGCTATGATGACAGCTACACTGAGGGGGCGCTATATCTGCAGTGGAAAACAAAGTAGCTGGTACCGAAAGCGAGTTGAGTCGAGCCGGTACCATGCAGTGGAAAAGTGGCTTCATAACACACTCTAAAACAGAAACCACGGGCAGATTAAAATCTGTCCACAGGCCAAAGTTGGACCTGGGGCTGGACT